AGTCTCGAGCCTCCTTAAAATTATTCTTAAGTATTTTATTATTCTTTGATGCTATTATAAAGGAATAGTTTTCTTAATTTCCTTTCCTGATTGTTTACTGATAATACATAGAAATAAAACATATGGGCTGTTAATATTTTATTTTGCAACTTTGCTGAACTTGTTCATTATCTCTAAAAAGTTTTTCGGGGGATTCTTTAGAATTATTTTTACATAGGATTACATAATCTGCAAATAAAGATAATTTTATTTCTTTCCAACTTGGATGTTTTCTTGCCCAGTTATACTGGCTGAAAGTTCCAGTACAGTTGAATCAAAGTGGTAGAAACAGACATTCTTTGTTTCTTATCCGAGAAAGAAATTTTTCTTTCTTTCACTATTAACTATACTGTTAAGCTATGGATTTTCCATAAACACCTATTATCAAGTTGGGGAACTTCTCTCCTATTTCTAGTTTCTTGAGCATTTTTTCATGAAAGTGTATGGATTATTTTCAAATTCTTTTCTAGCATCAATTGAGGTGATCATGTGGGTTTTTCCTTCATTCTATTAATGTAGTGTATCACATGATATTCATATGTTGAACCACCCTTACATTTCTTAGCAAATCTTACTTATCATTATATATAATCCTCCAATATGCCACCGAATTTGGCTTGTTAGTAATTACTTCAGTAGTTTTGAATCTGTATTTATAGGAGATATTTGTATGTAGTTTTTTATTATACCTTTATCTGGCTTTGGTTTCAGGGTGATGCTGACCTCATGGAATGAGTTAAGATGTGTTCTTACCTCTGCAATTTTTTTTCCTTTTTCTTTGTTTTTATTTTGGTATCCTTAGTCTACAATTACATGAGCAACATTGTGGTTACTAGACTCCCCCCATCATCAAGTCCCCACCACATACTTCATTACAGTCACTGTCCATCAGCGTAGTAAGATGCTATACAATCACTACTTGTCTTCTCTGTGTTGTACTGCCTTCTCCGTGCTCCCCGCCCACATTATGTGTGCTAATCATAATGGTCCCCTTTACCCCCTTGTCCCTGTCTTCCCACCTATCCTCCCCAGTCCCTTTCCCTTTGGTAACTTTTAGTCCATTCTTGGGTTCTGTGAGTCTGCTGCTGTTTTGTTCCGTCAATTTTTTTCTTTGTTCTTATACTCTACATATGAGTGAAATCATTTGATACTTGTCTTTTTCAGCCTGGCTTACTTCACTGAGCACAATACCCTCCAGCTCCATCCATGTTGTTGCAAATGGTAGGATTTGTTCTTTTCTTATGGCTGAGTAATATTCCACCATGTATATGCACCACACCATCTTTATCCATTCATCTACTGACAGACACTTAGGCTGCCTCCATCTCTTGGCTATTGTAAATAGTGCTGCGATAAACATAGGGGTGCATATGTCTTTTCCAAACTGGGCTCCTGCATTTGTAGGGTAAATTCCTAGGAGTGGAACTCCTGGGTCAAACAGCATTTCTGTTTTTAGTTTTTCAAGGAACCTCCATACTGCCCTCCACAATGGTTGAACTAATTTACATTCCCACCAGCACTGTAGGAGGGTTCCCCTTTTCCACATCCTTTCCAACATTTGTTGTTGTTTGTCTTTTAGATGTTGGCCATCCTAACTGGTGTGAGGTGATATCTCATCGTGGCTTTAATTTGCATTTCTCTGATGATTAGCAATGTGAAGCATCTTTTCATTTGCCTGTTGGCCATCTGAATTTCTTCTTTAGAGAAGTGTCTGTTCAGATCCTCTGCCCATTCTTTAATTGGATTATTTGCCTTTTGTTTGTTGAGGTGTGTGAGCTCTTTATAAATTTTGGATGTCAACCCTTTATTGGATATGTCATTTATGAATATATTCTCCCATACTGCAGGATGTCCCCTTGCTCTATTGGTGGTGCCATTTGCTGTACAGAAGCTTTTCAGCTCGATATAGTCCCACTTGTTCATTTTTGCTTTTCTTTCCCTTGTCCCGGGAGATATGTTCATGAAGAAGTTGCTCATGTTTATGTCCAAGAGATTCCTGCCTATGTTTTTTTCTAAGAGTTTTATGGTTTCATGATTTCATGTACCTGTGTGAATTTTTATAAGAATTTGAGAACGATTGATATTGATTCTTTAAATATTTGGTACACTTGACCAGTGCAGCCATTGAGCCATGATTTTATTTGTTAGGAGGTTTTTGATTTCTGATTCAATTGTTTTAAAGCTAAAAGTCTGCTCAGATTTTCTCTTTCATCTTGAGTCAGTTTTGGTAGTGTCTGTGTTTTAGGAATTTGTCCATTTCACATAGGTTATCTGCTTTTTTGGCATATAACTGTTCCTTCTATTCTATTATAATCCTTCCATTTACACAAGTTTTCTATTAGTATCTTCACTTTTATTTCTGATATTAATAATTTGAGTCCTCTCTGTTTTTCTGTTCAGTCTAGTTAAAGGTTTCTCGATTGTGTTGATTTTTATCATGTCTTTTAACAAATTTGGGAAGTTTTCAGTCATCATTTCTTCAAGTACTCTTTCAACTCCCCCCCGCCCCCGAAGCTCTCATTATGCATATGTTAGTACATTGGATGATATCCTACAGGTCTCTTAGGCTCTGTTCATTTTTCATTATTCCTTTCTCATTTTTCTCTTCAGGGTAGATAATTTTAATTGACCTGTCTTCATGTACACTGACTCTTTATTCTGCCTGCTGAAATCTGTTTCCTTTCTCTAATTTCTATCTCTTCATTTATATTCCCTATTTTCATTCTTCTAATTTCCTTTAGTTCTTTGTACCTGGTTTCCTTTAGCTCTTTGAGCATATTTAAGGCAGTGGTTTAAAGTCTATCCGTTAAGCCAATGTCTGAACTTCCTTATGGACAGTTTTTGCTAATTTTCCCCTTTTAATGAGCTGTACTGTTTTGTTTCTTTGCATGCACTGTAATTTTTTATTTAAAAATGGAAATTTTGAATATTATAAAGTGGCAAATCTGGAAATAAGATTCTCCCCCTCTCTGGAGTTTGTTTTTGCTGCCTGTTGTGAGTTGATTTTTCTATATTAAATTGATTTTTGATTTCTATATTAAATTGGTATGTGATTTTTCTGTATTAAAGACTCTGTTATGTGTGGTCCCTGAAGTCTCTCTTCCTTAAATTTGTGCTCAGTTAGTGTTATGATAAAGATTTCATGAATTCCTGAAGTCATAAAATAAATAGAAAAGACGAAAATATATATTCTTCAAGCCTTTACAGATTAGCTCTGTGTTGGGGCACTCTTTCACTCCAACTCCTTCCAGGCTGTTTACAACTCTGCCTTAGCCTTCATTCCCTGCTTTGCAGTACCTGAAAGCCAGAGAGAAGTGAAAGCTTGGGGTCTTCTCAGGCTTTCTCTGAGCATGCATCCCATCCCTTTTCTGCATGTATGTGTGTGCGCCCTTCTCAATTCTGTGGGATACATGGTAGATTTTAGACAATTATTCCCCCACTTATCTTCTTTATCAATCTCTTCCTTCCCAAGTTTATTATTTTATCAATTGCCTGTCTGAAGTGTTGTACTTTGCTGCAGGCTGCTATGGTCAATGCCTCTTCCTATAAATGCTTTCAGCAAAAGCCACCCAAGAAAGTGCCCAAGGCCTGGGAATGCCTTGTGTCAGACAAAACACAGGGAAGCCTTTATATTGGTCTTTGAGGGAGCCACCAGACAGTCAAGACTCACAACCACAGTCCTTTGAAAATAAGGTCTGTATTCCTCCCCTAGCACTATAAACCTTCACCAGGCCATTCTCACAACCCCTTCTGATCTTGTGCATGGAGGATGATAAGCAGGTAATTTAAAATGTCACAGCATTCTTTTAGCAAAAAGCAATACCTCCTTTTTTCACCATGTCCTCCCTCCTGATTGTTGTACATTTTTTTACTAGATTCCAGAGTTCTTCAAAAGTTGATTCTGACAGTTTTCATCACTTCACTTATGGCTTTTGGGGAAGGATGGTTTGAATTTATTACCTACTTTTCTGACCTTAAGCATTTATCATTATGTACAAGAACCATCTTTATTTAATAGCTTTGCAATTGAAAGCCATGCCTTGTAATTCCCATTTACTTTAGTACCTAATACAAATGCACACAGATGTTGGTAGTGAGTAAGACAGGTAGGACTCACCTTGTACCAATGACATCTTGAAAAAAATTACATATATATCACATAATCCTACAGGGTATGATTGGGGAAGTTAGACATAGCTCATGGGAAAAGCCTGGAGACTGGTGTCTAGTCCTAACTGTACCACTAACTTGTTCTATGACCTTGGGCAAATCTTTTGATACTACTCTAGTCCATTTTTCCCATCTGTAAAATAAGATAGATAAGCCAGATAGTCCTCAAGTCCCTTCTGGTTCTGATATTTTATGAAATCTTACTTCAAATATAATAATTAATATTCATTAAGTACTTTCCTTGTAGATGCAAAACAGCATTTATTAGTTAATTTATTTGATTCTCAAGTAGTCTTGTGAGGTAGGCACTGTTAGAGAAGATAAGGAACTTGCCCAGGGTCATAAAATAGTGCAACTGGGCTCCTAACCCATACACACTTCTTCAGAGCTTGCATGCAACCTCCGCACTATATTACCTCTAAGTATACAACAGAATCTTTGTATTTAAGATATTCTACAGTCAATACTTTGGGAAAGTGAATAATCATCTCCTAATTTATCAGCTTTTAAGTTCTTACTGTCATGTTACATAGCCTGAGTGTTTCCATTTATTGTTTTTATTAAAATAAGGTTATACCTGTATTTGTTAAATGAATAGAAATTCTTAATTACTTAAGGTTTAAGATGAAGGAAGATAGCAAAGGATGGAATTTAATCATCCTTTCCTTCCCTTAGAAGGCTGGTAGTTTCAAGTACTACTGAATAAATTCCTCAAAAATCATGTTATAGAAAATGGATTTGAATATAATGTTTTTAAATTTAATTAATTTAAATTTTTCTTTCTTTTATAGTGACTGTTTTGAGCCCAGCAGAAAAAGGTAAGAATGTATTGTAAATTGTATTGGTCAGAATTGTATTCCTCTTTCTATCTAAAAGTGAATTATGTAAAAGCCTAGAGCACTCCCAGGAATATACTGAGGTGAGTGGAAAGTTTAGCATGATGATTTTTAGGATGCTTACCCACAGATAGAGCAGAACATATTTGCAGTAGCTCCCTTGTCTATAAGATAGGAATTGGAAGTTACCAGGTTTTATGATAGAGAAGGGTACAGGTAATCACTCTGTTGGCCATAGTTACCCTAGACTCTCCTTTGGTTCATCACTGTTGTCCTAGGTACATTGCCTTTCTGCCCAAATCATTCCCTCTTCAAGGCATGAAGTAAGGGCCCCACAGGGAGCTTTTAAGAGCTATTTCCTTTATCATCATAGTTGTTTAAAAGAGGTGTTAGCTGTAGAGGCAACAGAGCAGAGTGGTGAGAAGATAGCAGACCATACTAGTTAAAAGTATGCATTCTGGAACTAGACTGTTTGAATTCAAATTCTGCCTCTGCTACTTCCTAGTAAATTATTTTACCTCTTTGTGCTCATTTTATTCATGTGTAGGATAGAAATACTAATACTACCTGTTTCATAGAGTTGTGAAAATTTAATGGATTAATCCATGCAAAGCACTTAGAACAATGGTGAGTAAAGCACATACCGATGACCCAATGAATGTTTGCAACTATTATTACAGCTTTGGAGCAAGTCTTGAGTTTTCTCTTATTTTTATGCAAAGTTCTTAAGGTCAGAGTTCATTTTATGAATGCATATGTAAAATAAATAAATATCATTTTTCCACAATAAACTTCCAAGGCAACTTGGGTGGGAGCTTAGATAATGCTTTACCACAACAGCAATAATGACAATGATATTGTTATTATTACTTGAAATTGTTGTTATTTGTGCTGGATATCCTACTAAGTATTGTATATACATTAAGTCCTTCACTATTTACATCAACACAATAATGCAAACACTCTTATGTCCATTTAATTGAGAAGGAAAATGAAGGTTAGAGAGGTTAAGTAACGTATCTCAGGTCATGTAGCTAGTAAGTGATAGGATTCAAACCCAGAACTGTCTGACTTCAAAGTCCATACTCTTATGCAAACCTGCACTTGCCTTTTACTTTTCATTCTACAACTCCCTCATTTGCTTAGATAAGCTCCTCACTCAGAAACTTGATGCTAAATTACTCTTTTTTCTAGTGTTCAAAGTACTGTATCTTCATTTTTTTTGTGTGTGTGTGTTATGAGTTAACTCAACCATACCAGTATAGAGTATCATGTAAGCTCAACTCAGTTCAAAGCTTTCCTAGTAGCATCAATCCCGTTACCAGGATTTGAGCTCTTTAGGAGATTATGTTACCACAATGTATGATTTTTTCAAGCTCTCTTCTGGCTCTTGAATTCTATGATTCCAAAGCACTTTTCTCCTGATAGCTCTTAAATTTATCAATACAGTAAAGAATAAGATTAGATTTTGCTTCTTTATTCTGCAGTGGGGCATAATGGGACAAAGCACAGGATTTAGGGACAGAAGATCTGGGTTGGAGTTCCAGCTCTATCATTTACTAGCTCTATGATCTTTGGTAAGTAACTCAACTTCTCTGAACCTCAATTTCTGTAAAATGAAACTAGTTTAATAACATCTTACAGATGTATTGTAAGATAGTGGGAGTAAAAGTATACAGCAAAAAGCTGCTTTGTAAATGTTAACCATTACCAGTGTCAATTAAAATATTTTTTTTACATCAGGGATCTTAAAGACAGTGGAATCTATAAACTAAAATTAGATCAAATTGTAACCAGAAAGTTGAAAGCTTGACTTGTAAAGAACTTCTGAATACTAGGGCAGATTACTAGGAGATGCCATGAAATGTCCTTTTCAGAAGGTTTCAGACACCCAACACATGTGTCATGAATCAGTGGGCCTTGTGTAGAAACAGACCAATAGGCTTAATGACTATCTGAGGTCCTTTTGAACCTTGTGAATCTGTGATTTGTTTGAAAGTAAATTGCGCTATTAATGTATAATACAGTATAGCATATAACTTCCAATAGGAACATTATTTGGCATAGGCAAGGAAAATATAAGGGGCGAATTAGTGAAGGCCTCAAATCCCATAACCTTTTATTCAGTCTCCAGAGCTTAAGAAAATTATAGTCAAAGATACTGAAAAAATTTTCTATTTCTTATCTACTTAATGGTTCCTCTACTGGATTGAAGATTGCATCCCACCCCCAAATTCATGTCCATCTGAAACCTGTGAATGTGACTTTACTTGGAAATAGTGTCTTTGCAGATGTAATCAAGTTAAGATGAGATCATACTGGATTAGGGTGGGACCTGTGACTGATGTCATAAGAGAAGGGAAATTTGGAGATGGAGGCAGAGATTGGAGTTATGCTGCCACAAACTAAGGAACACCACGGACTGCTAGGAACCACCAGAAGCTAGGAAAAGGCAAGGAAGGATCCTCCACTGGAGACTTCAGGGAGAACATGGCCTTGCTTATATCCTAATTTCATACTTGTAGGCTCCAGAACTGAGAGAGAATAAATTTCTATTGTTTTAAGCCACTCAGTTTATATAATTTCTTATGATAGCCCTAGGAAACAAAGATAGTTCCTGATAAATTTCAATTTCTAATGCACTAAGAATACTCTAATAGTAGCAAATAAGCACAGACTTTGGTGTCAGAGTACCCAGGATGAAATCTTGACTTAGCTACTTATTATATATATGAACTTGGGGAACTTGCACTTTCTTCCTCTGTAAAATTGGGATAACAATACCTACCTTTAATGGTTGCTTGGAACTGTAATGAGATGATGTGTGTATGTGTCTGGACATGGTACCTGGCATATGGTAAGTACAAAATAAGTAGTAGTAGACACTGTTATTGTTATTTTTATTTACATTGCAAAGGACCTAGTCTAAGAAGCATAACATTTATCAGGACTATAATTTTTACTATTACTGTTGTAAATGTATAGTCAAAATTCATGTACTCTATTTGTAAGTAGAACAACTAAGACCCAGGAAAGTAAAATATGTTGATCTAGTCATGCTGACTCTAGTGCACAGAAAAGACTAATGCCCAGATTATCTGAACTGCAGTCTAGAATATTATATATTATGTCATCATTGATTATACAGGACTCAGAAATTCTTCTTTTAAGACATGACTCCATATCCTCTTTCACAGATCATAGTAGAAAACATAATAATAATATATTTACTTTGCTTTTATGAGAGTGTTTTGCATAGATGGTCTCATTCAACATCATACTATATGCATTTTGAAGATCTTGACTGGAAGATCTTCCCTCATCTACCTATGAAGTAAGGATCTGGAATGAGCTGGAGGTTAGAAAGTTAGTAGGGTCTAAGGATGGTAAAGCCAAGAGATGAATTTAGGAATATGATTTGGCACAATCTGTCAGACAAACTACATATTCAAGAATAATGTATTGACCACAGTTGTTGATCATCATAAAGAGTCATTAATCATTTTAAGCAAAACCTTAAGTCATTCTCTGATAATGCATTTACATTTTGAATGGTTTACATACTAAATTCTCTGGTTTCTCCTTCAAAGTTAAAAATGGTTATAATTATTTACTTTTTTAGAAATGGATGTAATTCCTAAGTAATAGAAATGCTATGGACTGAACTGTGTTCTCTCAAAATTCAAATGTTGAAATCCTAACCCCCAGTACCTCGGAGTGTGACTGTATTTGGTGACAGGGTCTTTAAATAAGTAATTAAGCTAAAATGAGATCACTAGGGTGGGTCCTATACAATATCACTGGTGTCCTTATAAGAAGAGATTAGAACACAGACACTAGAGAGGAAGACCATGTGAAGATTCAGGAAGAAGACTGCCATCTAAAAATAAAAAGGAGAGTCCTCAGAAGAAAGGTGTATCCCTGCCAATACCTTGATCTTGGACTTCTAGACTCCAAAATTGTGAGAAAGTAAATTTCTGTTGTTTAAGCAACTCACTGTGTGGTACTTTGTTACAGCAGCTCCAGCAGACTAATACAAGAACTTATTCAGGTTTCCATTTAAAAATCCAGAGCATGGAAATAAATGCTTTGTGCCAGCTTCTTGATTATACTAATCTTAATTTATTTGTGATATATTAGACACCCAAAGAGTGAGAAGGCACTGGGAGGAAAAATTGGGGGCCACATTTTGATCTTTTATTCTCACTTTGTACTGTATAGGAAATCCTCAATTAGGTTTTGAGTAGTTATCTCAGTGCTCTTAACACCATACTATTCATATTTATAATTATAGAATCACTTTATAATGATTTTCAGGGTGAGACAATACCTTTTTTTAAAGGCTAAACCACTTCTAAAAGAATATTATATTAATATTAATATAATAATTATAATATAATATATAATATAAATAATAACTATTAACATACAATTAATACTATTTTGTTACAAAAGCAATGCTTATTAAAATTCAAACAACACAGAAATATATGATAAAAAATGTAAAGTCCTTCTCACATTGCTCTCTATCTCTATTTACAGAAAACCACTATAATTAGTTTGATTTGTATTGCAGATCCTTTTCTCTGTATTTACATATAAACATATGAGTATAGATGTGTGTATTTGTATAGACTTGTTTTTCTTAACTGGATAGTACTATGCATATTATTCTATGACCCACGTTTTCCACTTAATATATCATAGATACCTCCCTATATGCAGATGTATTTCATTAGTTAAATGATCTCATGGTATTCCATAGCATATATATGCTATGGTTTATTTAACCATTCCCCAATGATGAACTTAAAAAATAAAACTTTTTTGTTTTTCTTGATTATAAAACTAATAGAACCTCATAAAATACAAACAATATAGAAATGGCTAAAGTATAAAGTGTGAGTCCTTTGTAAGCACTGCAGAGGTTAAGGATGGAGCAAAATTCCATGGTATCTATTAAGCTCACCATAAATGTTTTA